GGAAGTTTTTCAGAAATATGAATGTAGAGAGTGAAAACAATCCATAACTCCATCCCTAAGAGCAAATCAATCATCCCAGCTTTCTCTTGTATTATTATGTAAAACACTTCACTGATATTTATTTAAAACAACTAAAAAGGGGGGGGGGGATCTTGCTATGTTTAACCCAGCAACTTGCTTTTCTTGCTAAAGATCTTATTTGGTCTACTGAGTAAACAGAAATCTACCACATTGTTTTTAAAACGTTGGATAGTACTATACGGTATGAATGAATCACAGTTTAACCACATTTCCACTCATGGAAAGATGTTTTTATAATTATTTTACTTTGGTGAGTAGTCTTGCTCACATACCCTTGTGCACATGTGATAGCATTTTCGGATATAAAAATCCTTGAAATGGATTTGCTGGGTCAAAGCATGGTGCATGAAATTTTTATTTTTATTTTATTTATTTTTTTGAGTTGGAGTCTCATTCTGTCGCCCAGACTGGAGTGCAGTAGCCGCTCCCGGCCACCACAGCCTCGACCTGCTGGGCTCCGGCGATCCTTCCGCCTCAGCCTTCCGAGCAGCCGGAACTACAGGCGCGCGCTACCATGCCCAGCTGATTTTTGATTTACTGTAGAGATGAGGTCTCGCCAAGTTGCCCAGGCGGGTCTCGAACCCGCGGTCTCAGGCAATCCACTCACCTCAGCCTCCCAAAGGCGCGGGATTACAGGCTGAGCCACCGAGCCCGGCAACGTGCATGAAATTTTTATTAGGCAGTATTTAATTTTAAATCTTTAAAATTGGTCTGTAATTTGAAATGGTACTAGCTCAATTCTTTGTTGTCTCTCACACAGCCATCACCAAGTCTAGTTTTAATTCCTTTGTCAGAAGACACTTTCCTGTCACAGGCTGGTATTCGACCTCAGGTGTTTTCAGTTTGTCAGTGCTATGACGGACTATAAAGCATTTCAAAAATAATTGCCATTTGCGGGGACGGAATGAGCTTTTTTTTTCTCTCTCTTTTTTTTTTTTTTTTTGAGTTGGAGTCTCACTCTGTCGCCCAGACTGGAGTGCAGTGGCCGCTCCCGGCCACCGCAGCCTCGGCCTGCGGGGCTCCGGCGATCCTTCCGCCTCCGCCTTCCGAGTAGCCGGAATTACAGGTGCGCGCACCACGCCCGGCTGATTTTTTGATTTGCTGTAGGGATGAGGTCTCGCCAAGTTGCCCAGGCGGGTCTCGAATCCGCAGGCTCAGGTAATCCACTCACCTCAGCCTCCTAAGGCGCGGGATTACAGGCTGAGCCACCGAACCCGGCTGCTGTTTTATTTTTCAAATGACATTATCTTCAGATATCTTTTTGGAGTTTTGAGTACGATTTAGTAAAATAGAGAAAACAAATCTGCCAATTCTTCTTGTTCTTTCACCTGCTGGAGTGAATATAACATGTTGATGCTTTTGGGATAATCACCTAGGTTATTATTATTAGTGACAAGAGGCCATAACTGTCAATTCTTATCTACCTAACAAATGCTTACCGTTTCTAATGTTTTTCCAATACTTGTCAAATTAAAGCTAAGACTACTCATCTGGCCACCTTAAGCAACATTTCCATTTTGAGAGGGCAAGAAGACAGAATTTCAAGAGTATAATACTAGTAATGGTATCCTCCTGGACTACTTAGTCCAAAGGGATTTTTTGCTTCTTCTGGACCCAGAATTTTTTTTTTTTGAGTAGGAGTCTCACTCTGTTGCCTGGGCTGGAGTACAGTGGCATGCTCACCGTCACCACAGCCTCAGCCTTCCACCTCAGCCTTCCAAGGAGCTGGAACCACAGGAGGACATCACGACACCCAGTTAATTTTTTAAAAAATTTATTGTAGAGATGGTCTTGCCCATGTTGCCCAGGCTGAGCTTGAACCCCTGGGTTCAGACAAGCTTCTCGCTTCGGCCTCCCAAAGTGGTGGGATTACAGGCATGAGCCACCATGCCCTGCCATGGACTCATATTTTAAAGTGTCTGTGCTATTCATTAACTTGGCAATTGCTCACGAACTTCCTTTGAAGTTAAAAAAAAAATAGAACAATTTAATCATTTAAGTGTTTTTACAAATCAAATACTATTCTTCCCTACTATACTGGGTTTGGTTCACTGACGTCTCCCCAGTAGTTAGAACAGAACCTGACTTATAAAAACTGTTTAATACATATTTGCTGAATAAATAATACATTCTTTAAAGGCTGGAAGTCATCTTAATTTTGTGTCCCTAGAGTAAATGCCAAGTTGTTGATTCAAATTAAGGAAATCTTCATTCAGGAACACAATTTGTGACTTTCTTAGAAGCCACATGTAAAATATCCTTGACCTAAATAGCATTCAAGATTCCTTTCCAACCTAACACACTATAGATCTACTGGTTTTCAAAGAATTAGAATCCAGTATATGAGAAAATACATATATACTACTAAAACCAGAGTGAGAATAACTGAGTGAAACTTGATTTAGAAAGTTAGTGCACTGATTTTTCTAAGGGTTGGGATCATCACTATAAAGATCAAATTTGAGAACTAACCACATCAATCCCAAACTATATTCTGAAAATTTTTAAAAAACAAAATAAAACAAACATAGTATCAAGCTACTAATGGGAGATGCCTCTATGAGCATAAAATATATTTTAAATGTTAATGCATAAACAAGAAAGCAAAGGAAATATTTATGAATATTTATTTATGTATAACATTTATATCCTGGACTATGTCAATAGTGGTATGACCCTAATGAGATTAGTTGCCCTCAAATCCATGTCAAATGTGCAGTTATTTGGATTTAAGGCCAACATAAAGGATGCAGTGAAAAAGAGATTAAAGATAGAATCAGCATGAAAGAAGGATTCATCCAAATCTGGGGCATATTTTGGATAATATACAACTTTTTTTTGAATAAAGGCAGAAGAAAGGGGAGAGAAATGTACAAGCAACAATTTTAGAAAATAATTCCAGAAAAAGTCCATCTTATAAAACACATTTTAATTCTAGTCTTTTAGTATTTATTTATGTCAGGCCACTTCTTACTGAATGTTTGGCTTCCTGTGCTGAGTCTTAGAAAAATATCTTGTGGTTAGAAAATAACATATTCTAAAGGCGGCTGACTGAAAAGCATGTTTTTTTGGCTTGCCATTTTTTAACAACAAATTTTACTTTAAAAAGAGGATGAATTAATTAGAGTTGAGATTAACTCTCACTGGTAGAACTATAGTGGGTTTATCCAGCATGCTTAAAAAAGAAAACGCACTGGATCTTAAGAAGGATTTTATATATAATTGACAGAAAGAATAGGGCTAGAAATAAAGGACAGTTTTTGACCTGCTTAAAAAATAAAAAAAGAAAAAGAAGGAATTAGGAACTTTGAAGGAATGGTGGGAAAGATTTCATAAAACAGAGTAGTTAAAAGAAAGGCATGTGCCTAAGTTAGACCTGAGAGCAAAGTCTGAAGAACACCAACAACAGAAGCATTCTTGAGGAAAACAAATGCCAGGAACACTCCTAAGGTTAGCTTACTAATATAAAAAGGGAAACAGATATTCAACTTGTTGAGGCTTACAACATTTGAGAGCATTATATACTTAAAATACCAGATCCTCAGAAAAAGAAAATGCTCAAAAAAAATTTTTTTAAAGGCTGTAGAGTAAAAATTAGAACACTCTAATTTACTTGAGGTAAATTAACATAGAAAACGACATCAGATTAGAAGATAAGTTTTTGATCACTCGTTAATAATTGAAGAACTATCTGATCATAAATCTTTTTTTTTCCTTTAAAAGATGTATTTCAATAGCTTTGGGATGATCATAAATCTTACAGTCAATAGAAAAGTCACTAATCCTAAAAAAAATGTACAAGAAAGGGTAAATTTCAGCTTTTAAGAAATCGCTAATTAAATTAGCAAAAATCTCTAAAAAACAGTTTGATTAAAAATTTGACAGGCTACTATTAATTACACTTGTAATAATTCTAAATATACATTTCTATTTTAAAGGGTGCTTTTTAAGTAAAAATAAATTATTTTATATAAAGAAACTATTTTGTTTAAGGGCGCCTAGAAAAACCGATGAATAATCAATATTCATACTAAAACAGATATATTCAAAGTCTAAATTTCATTTTATAGGAATCGCATCTATTGGAAGTGCAAGGTGCATGAATAACTCAGTGACAAGCACAAGCTCAGCCAGGAATCAGAAACGCATTCCCAGTGGAGGCCTAGCTCAACTTGAGAATTTCACAGGCACAATAAATCATCCAAAAGCCCACCTTCAACAATAAGTCATACAAATAAGACGATGGCGACTTTGGTGATAACATAATCCTCGGTCTTATTGTTGTGGAGCAGATGTCATCATGGGTGGGGCTGAAGCGCAGAGCAGCTGAAACATTTTTGTACCCCCCCCCCAACACTTTCAATGGGGATAGAAGGGGCTCCAGACAGGTAAGAGGAGAACTCTCAATCATCCATTCCTACTAAAAATAACTAAGTTTTGATGTGGCTGTGGTACTCGCAAAGGCCACAGTGAGGCTTTTAAAAAATTCCCCATGATTAAGTTCTATCCTGGAAAAGAGACCGTCCCTTTCCCCCCTCCCTTGCCGGCTCCTCCTCGGGACACTTGGCTGAGCCTTTCTTTCCTTCCTTCCCACGCTGAGGTGAGGCTGCGCGCAAGCCAGGGACGCCTGTTTTTCTCTTCGTGCGGAGAAAACTCTGCGGTTTGGAAGCCAGGATGGCGGAAAGGGAGCGGGCGGCACAGTGAAGAGGCAAAGAAGGCTAGCCGGGGCCGGGCCGGGGGACAGAAGGCACAGGCGGGCCGAGGAGGCCGAGGTGACGAGCGAAATCTCCCGACTCGGAGCTGGTACCGTACGCTTCCGGCGGGCCGCGGCGCTCTCGGCCTATCGCGGCCTGCGTTGCGCGCTCCAGCCGGTCCGGGCAGGGAATAGGGAGAGTGAGTAAACCGCGGCTTGCACTTGCCTGAGAGCGGGTGACCAATAACTGGTAATAGTCTTTGCTCGGCGCCGGGCCTTGTCCTACAATTTCGAACAGAGTCTCCGGCAGCCACGACGCCATCTTGGGACGCCACCGCCGTCGCTAAGACAACCAGGAAGGGGCGGAGCTTGATTGGGGTCAAGGGGCCAAAGCCCTAGTTTAAATGGAACTCCGCTTTTGAGCGGGGAGGGGGGTTTCTAACTTGTGGTGATCGTCCCTTCTTTCAAGGGTCGCAGGGAACTCTAATCCGCGAAATTTCTACCTCTAGGTCCCGGGTGACCCGAAGGGGAATTAGTTCCTGCTACCACGGAGGGGAGGGGGTGACCCCGGCGGAGGGATACCAAGCGGAGCACCACAGTCTCCTTCCTGGTCCCTCGAAGGGATCGGGAGGAGATCGGAGGCCGCTGGGGGAGCCGAGCCAGGCGGCGGGGGAGGGAGGGGCGATGTGATGGGCCGCGAGTAGGCAGCCGGGCCGGCCCCGCGGACGAGCCCGTCAGCCGGAGCCGCAGGGCAAAGTAGTTCCCTGAGGGTGTTGGAACGGGCAGGGAGGGAGGCGGCGCGGGCGGAGGCGCACGCCGGGCGCGGTGCTGCGGCTCAGCTGATAATTGAAGGGACCCGAGAGCCGCCGCCGCCGCCGCTGGGGGGGGTGGGGGGAGCAGTGGAAGTTACTGCCGTGCCACCGAGTCCGGACCGGAGACTTTGGGGCCTAACTAGGTAATTGGGGCGCCGTTCCGAGCGGCGGGGGCAGGCCTGGGGGGAGGGGACCGTACTGAGGGTTGGGGGGGCGGGGGGGAGGAGCTGGAACAGAAAGTCCCAGGAAGCCCGGTTGTGTCATCGCCGCGATTCGGCCCCCGCT